CCAAAGTCGGCAAAGTGGTCAGGATCCTTTATATTAAAAGAAAACAGATTTCCAGGTATTGTAGACTGTGTTGAAGTTGACAAGACACTTTTGCCAGGTCATTGGTTGGAAAATAGACTTGAATGCTATTCCACTCCAAAAGGGGACATTGTATAGATACATCTCACATTGCCTTCTACTCCTACGTGGAGCCAAAGAAATATAACCCTTGATTTGGCGTCACATTTACCTCAAATATACATTTGCCTCGTTGCCTTTAAAGAGGGTCTTACTTTCGTTTAGTATTTTGTAGTACAGTGTTTAGTGTTTGGTGTCGTGATAGCTGTGTGAGATTTGTTTCACCTTTGAGCTGACGACCAACTAGAGTTGTACCCAACACGGGATGGCAAAATATGATTGTGAAGTACAATAAATAAATCAGAAAGGAGCAGAGTCAATAGTGTATTTTGGCAACCAGAATGAAAACCCATTACTGCTGTGGACAGGTGGTACGCGCGCGTTACATGCCTCTTCGACCAATTGGGCGCAGTGGTTTGCCAAGTGCACGCGTGCGTCAAGCCAAAGAATGTGTGCGTGCAGTTACGGTGTCTCGTTGGGTATGCCAATACGCTCAACTTCGGTCTTGTGTTGAGCTCTGGATCACGGCCACACTTGATTCTCCATCCCGACTTACAATTTAAACATTTAATGTTCTAAGATTTTCGTATGTTCTTGTTCTGCGTTGCAGAAAGCACAGCGGTGAGCATTATGATCTTTGTATAAAGACCTTATACAAGGTGAGTTCTTGTCAAAACAGGCCTGGACAATATAGGCATTTTGTTGTTCTATATCAATTTTGTACTCTTATAGCCATTAAATCTACTACAGTCTTTATTGCCTTCAGTTCAGCTGAGTAGGGCTCAAGTACAAAACCCAAGGTACCCAATCAGGCATTGTTGGAAGGAGCACTGCGGAACCCGATAGAGGTTGAAGGGCTTTGAAATCTCTCTATTTCTATACAAAAAGCCAGCGACATTTTGATACATTGCCTCTTTTCATCGGACTTTGTAGGCGATTTTTAAATTGCATGCAGACCCGGGACAAGACACATATGATGCTTAATACAGCACAACCGCCCGTCCCCATTATTAGAGGTAGCAATAACGCCCAGCGAATACTGCTGCAGAATCGGGGTATTATGATGGAATTTACCAATCAGCCGTTTTGGCGCGGTCGTACGCGACTCGGGAACACGTATCTCCTTCTCTGATTAGAATTTCCTTAAAGATTGATGGCCGAGCATTCCTTAAACGTTTAATTAAACCTCTTTGCAAGGGGCGAATCAGACAATAATTGTAAAAGAGGTTACTGGAGCAGGTGCTGAGGCGAGGTTACGGCAAGGCAACAGATGGAAATCTCTCAACATCGACGCTGTTGTGCCATCCGTCTCTTGCAAAATTAAAGGATCGTTTTATCAGAAGTAAAGTCGCTGAAATAAATAAGTTTTGGTAAAACTTTGTAACTATCTGTAAACATCAGTGAACAATGGAAAACAAAGTTCTTGCCATTTCCACTTCTGTTTTGTTTGGTTTTGTTTTTTGTTTTGTTTTTGTTAATTTCTGTCCTCTGTTTCAATTACAGATGGTAAAATACATTTAATTCGAAAGCGTTCAGCGCACTTGCGTGGACATACATGTTAATAATTTACGTGTTATCTTTTTTCTCCTTGTTTGTTGGGCAGCGGCCACATATCTTTACCTTTTGCTTCGCCGACTACATTTTTATTTCATTTATGATGTGTTGAAATGTTATGCTTGACCCCTTTTGCGACTGATTTTCTGTGAGAAGGTTATCTGAGTTTTAAGCTTTAAACCTTCCACTGTATGTAGTGTATCACTTTGTTTTTCGGTCTTAGAGTTGTTCGCCACTGTTGAATGCTGTTGAATGTCCCAGTTAATTGGGTCTATATATTTTACATGCCGGTAACCGAATTGGGACTTATGAGGCTAGTATGCGGGAAATTTCCAACAGCAATTTGTGACAGATTTCCAAGGTAAACACCCGAAGGGGGACGGTCAAATCCTGTTAACTCGAAAACCTTTCCCGGCATGTAGGTACAAAAGAGTATTTAATTCTGCGTTCAACGTGGTTAATTTTGTCACTCACAAACTCCGCATTAGCCCCTGGGAGATGGTGTTCCTTCTCGCTCGACAGCTCTCACTCCGCTCAAAATTGCTTTACTAAATTTGCTAGACGGATACGCAATAGAGGACCATGGCATTTGGAAAAAAAATCATGAAATCTCAGGGACTTGTTTCAGTTCGGTAACAAAATTACAGCGGCATCAAAATTTGACAGGGCCCTGCACGGCCGCAGTCTTTAAAATGTCAGTCCACGTTCCGTGTCCAAATTGGGAAGATTGTTTGAAGCCGCGGACTTTAACCGTGTTCGGCGCTTCTTCCCTCGAGGATCGCACGCTCGATCAGTCAGGTTCCTCCACTCACCTTAAAACATTCATATCCTCGTCATAATTCTCTGGGAAGTTTTCTTAGCATTTTACCCTCGAGTTTTATTGTCTAACCGTGGGATTGATAGCCCTTCGGGGCTTGCCTTCTTGTCGGCTTTACTTGGATTTGTTATTTCGTCGTAATATTTTATACGTCGTTCACGTTGGTGGACTATAGGTCAGTCGACTAAATCTCGCGTAGATCTCGTCAGAGTGCTTTCGCATTAGGGAGAACTTTCGTGAATCTGCGCTTCGTTTCCATAGTTCGGTGCGTTTGGTTTATGGTTTAAGGGGCTTAGTAGTGATTGACAAACAAATATTATACAAAACTTGCAATGAAAATGTGGCTGGAGAGTATACGTTGCCGAGGATTGTGACTACTTCACTTTTTGAGGAATAAATTGAAGCGTACTTTATTACATTAGACCAGCTTTCGCAAGAACTACACTTTTGATGAAGGCTTTAGACAAACTAACAATAATCCAACAGAAAAAACGACGGGCGGGAAGAAAAAAAGGCAAGATTAAGTAAATACTTTGAGGAGACATTTTCAAATCTGAAGCCTATCTTGCAAAGTTATTAGATCGTGCGCTGTACTAAATGTTTTCTATTTTTAGCTCTGGGATATCGAGTGTTTCGCTGTGAGTATACTGTTATTTCATTTAACCAAATCTGTGCTGTTTAACAAGTTATATTGTACAAACTCGATTGAGCTTATCAGGCTGTACCGGTACTGTATATACAGAAATATTTTTTATGAATTGGTTATTGCGGATACAGTAACAATTAGTCTCAACGGAGCGTGCTTTCCATCACATAAGTAGATCAACTTTTAAAAAACAAAACCGGTAATAGGTTTTGACAAGCAAGAGTGCATTACGCCCTACGGGGTGGATGTGGCGGTGTTTCGTCCGTCAAGATGGACGCAATTATCAATTATAGGGAAGCGCTCACTCATGGAGCATTTTTGCGGACGTGATCCGCTGGAACGAGAATGGACTTCGAAGGAGACTAATTTGGTAGGATGTAATGCAAACATGGATTCGTGTTCGACCCCGTACGTTGGGCACAGCTATGGTACGATGAAGTCATCGTGTTGTTAAAAAACAATAGTCATGCGAAGCTAACGCGCGTCCCAGAGGCAAGATAAACTTGGTGGGGATAGCCTGGAAGGGTCCGCATTGCAAGCAGAGAAAGATTCTTTTGTATGGAAAATGATACAGCTTCGCAGCAGTCAAAGTTAGGTAACGCAAAAAAAAAGTCAACGATATCTTTATAAGACGAAATGCACATGTGATTTCAGGCTGATGTCTGGTGCGTATTGGTGTTCCTTATTATGCTGTTTTTGTGGCGTCAACTTAAAACCTCGCATTCAGTCCAAGACGCTCACGTTGTTCGCCGTTCATGAATTCCCCGTCGTATTGTCTGCACCAGCACCAACAAAGAGAATTAGAAAGGGGGGCGCGACGGACTCACAGGGGAAATTTCTGCATGCTTTTAGTATCTGTAAATCACATTACTTTCCCTTCCTGCGGGCATATCGAAAGAATCGTCCCGCAGTGTGATTATATTTTGTAGCAGGATAAGAAATTTAGTTCTGAACGCAACCATTTAACGAGCCGTGATGGTCAAGTCACAAGTTGCTTTTTGTCATCCCTTTTGCAATATTGTAATAACATGGGAGGGTTTAGAGTTATGATTCGCCTTAGAAATCCCTCAAAATGGCGAAGAACCACACGCATGTCTGCTTTTAGTTAGATGTTCCCAGTTTCTTGAGCCGATATAAACAGAAAGCAGCTGGGGTTATATAGAGCCCAAGGTAGGCCTTCAACGCCTTCTGATTGTCTGGTTTGTTAAGGATCAGTGACATCCCCTTAGCCTCGATTAATCAGAATTATTTATCTCTCTAACGCTAACCGTTGTCTTGCTCCACCCGCATACCTACAGCGCCACGCCACTTACCTCCACATCAGTTCATGGCAATTAGATTCTTACCTTTCGCATTTTTACGCATCCGAATGTATTCACTTCTTGTTGTTATTGTTTTGTTTTAATGGCGCTTTCAGCTCCTCGGGCTGTTTACGCCAATAACTGTACGTTTATTCATAGCCTTTATTAATCAGCATCACATTATGGAGTTAGGAAGAAGGTCTAGTGTTAGAGGCAGGAGGAAACCTGAGTACCGGGAGAAAAACCTGCGAGAGCGAGTATGGACAGGAAACCAAATGCACTTAAAGCCTGGGCCAAGCCGGAACTCGAACCTTGGCCACATTGGTGCAAGGCGAGGAAAGAACCGCTACGCTAATCCCCTCCCCTGCTTGCACTTTTTTAATACTAAACTGTGTAGCTTTGCAAGACACCTATCATTTGTCGTAAAATCATCGTGAGCTTTTTCATCACTATACCAACCCGCAAACTTTAGAATATGATGTCATGATCTTAGTGTATCACAGGGTGTTTCTGAAAGGAAAGAGTAATGGTAACATTTACGTGGAAATGTAAAAAGGCTGCTTACCTTAGCTTCCGCATTGGCAGGTAATGCGGCGTTCAGGCCAATCAACGCGAGAACCACGATCAGAGACCACACGGTTAGCCTCATGGTGACGCTTCGTTGCTGCCTTTCGTCCCGCTGCCTCGTCCTGCTATCAACGGTAGATATGCCGGTCGAACAGTCCCCCGCACTCGGTAATCCACTGTCGAGATTTGTCTCGATCGGTTGCAAAAATGTTCCCGCTCGATTTCTGCCCAATGTTGATCTGTGAACTTGTCCCCCCAAAAACACCGTCGCTGGCTTATAAAACGAGAGGGCCCTGCGCCGTTGCGCGCCGATTGTATTCATGTTTACAGCGCAGCCAATCAGATTGCCCGATATGTGCCTCATACGTATTGATGGCGGCACGTGCACATGCGCAATGCAGTCTTGCGCTTATTTGACGGCAGATGCCTTGAGCGGGCGCTCAGGTGAGTGACACCACTTCCGGAAATGTGTGGATAGCAATGACGTCATGGAATGGTATCTCAACAGTTAAAAGTTACCAGACAGTGAACCCACACTTTACCATACAATACCATTGCTTACGCAAGCATCTCCAAGTGATAATTGAATTTGAATTTAAGACGGGAAAAATACCCTACAGCATTTTCTTGTCTCTTTGGTTTCCTTTTTTACAGCATGAAGATGTCTCTTCATTTAAGGATGTTGGTTATGTTTGGTTCTGTGCATGTTATATTCCATCGTGGTTAACACTGTTCAGCAAATGGCAGGATGCACCCTAAGGACGACACGGATTTCTTTGGCAAAACCAAACAGAAGATGTAGCCATCTCTGTGCAGCTGCTACAGAGACGAACCGATTCAACTCGGAAATTTAAACGAGGATCCAGTTTCCTGAAATCAATCATTATGGCAAATACCAAGGTGCCTCATAAACCGCACAAAAGCGAGGCTTTCTCTGTGTTTTAATGAAACATGAACCACGACTTATCATTACAATCGAGCCCAGAGGGGCCAATCTCGTAAATTGCCATGAGCAAGCAGCCGAACTGGCTGTAGTGGACACAAGGTATTACAGAAGCGCAAGAGTATCCGAAAAACACACATTGCCGACCACCACTCGTTCTCTAATGAACATCCAACTTCGTTTCCCCCATTAACACCCGGCCGAAAACCACAACCGGACAGACGTATGAACGTACCGTCACACCAGGCCATTCCACGGCGCGCGAAATTGTTTCCAATTTAAATATGGTGCCAATTTCCCCGTACGATTCAGGTTGAAAATTAGAAAACAAACGCGTCCGCGGAAAGGGGGGGGGGGCTCGATCACAAGAGCCAATATTAACACTGAAATTACTCCCCAGTTGACGAAAAGGCGAGAGCCGAACGAATGTGCGCGCGGGAACAACGGAATAAGAAAAAAAGGACGAAAGTAACCTTACTCCGCCGCGCAAGCGGTATTTTCAATTTGGTTTGAAATCGCCGGGTATCCATCGATTGTATTGTTTATTTTTAATTACACTGACGGGAAAGGATACCAGCGTTTCCACGACCCATAGAAATTGAAATAAATAAAGTACCTGCCAGCCTTTTTGTCTCTGTACACGAAAGAGTATAACGTGTCCCAATAATTCTGTGTTTTGACTGTGAAATAGCAGTGGATTGACGACGTTTACTTTTGCCGTCTTTACATCGGTCTGCACACTGTAAGTCTTAGCACTGATTGCTGTGACACAGGGAAATTGTAGTTATCACCTGAAGGTATCGCCAGCCTTTAATAATCTTCATATTTGTCCTAATTCAGTTAGATAATGGCGTTCCCATGGTGAATTATTAATATCAGCCCCCTAAAAATCATCGTGCAAAAGGTTAATGCTTTACACTTGATTTCCTACCTGTCTGCTGTTGAATAGATTTATCTTCAGTTGTTCACGACTAAATGCATTCACAGGGAGCTTCGAGTGTTTTCTGTATCATCTCCAAAGTGAGGAGGAATTAAGTATCAGATTTTTTGATCTGAAACTTTAGGCCTACCATAATTGAACCAAGAATTCGTCAACGTTGCGCGGGCTCTTAGCTCTAAGATCTGAAGAAATGACCTGGACCTGCTTATTAACAGTTAGCCAAAAAGTCGTGCCAACTTTGGTAGAAAAACATTGCTAACCTTAAGCACTATTGCTTGCAGTGGTTATGGTACGGTTGCGCGCTCGTAGGGATTTCTACTGTTATGTCACTAAGTTTAAGCAAATTTTTCTCCAAGGTTAGCATGCCATTGGCTGTGCTTACTGCGTACGGTCTTTATGAAATACGTGTTGCCTCTGTGTGAAATTGTGTGCTAAGCAGCGCCGTGAAATGTGAAGGCGGCCAAGAAGCCAGTGTCAACCCGAAAGAGCCAGAGACCCGCTGTGCACTCAGCTTAATCTTCACTCCAACTCGCCCAAATCCAAAGTGGTACTTCGTTTCACCGTACAGTAGGAAAACAGTGCTACTGCAGCGTGTGTGAAGAAAGATTCACGAAGAAGCTGTAGCTTTACCAGTGAAAAACGAAACAAACTCAACAGCAATATGGCGTCATCAGTTTCGTCGTGGTGATCATGACACTAATTATCTGGAGTGGTCCAATGCAGTGGGAATATATTTCACTTTGTTTGCATGTGCATAGGACAGAACACACCTCGGTGAAACATTACAATTTTTTTTTCATTATCTAAAAGCTAATCTAGCTTTTTCTTTCCGAATGGCAATCGTTGACAATCGTGCTAATGTTTTAATACGTCATTGTCTGAGCAATCTGTTGTCCAAATTGTAGCAAACAAAACCTCCACCTCCACTCAGTTTTTGTTTTGTTTTGTTTTTTGCATATCTAATAATATTCCCTACGTACTCTTTCATTATTTCTGTAATTTTTTTAGAGCAAATTGTACTCCTTTAACAGGAAGGGAAATGAATGGTGAAGGCGGATAATCCCGGATTTCACCGATTCGATCCTCCGTATATTGCAAAATCGTGAACACTCTAGGGTTTTAATACTGAAAGAAAAAAGACCTCACCTTTCAGCGAAGCAGGAGACTCTGGAAAGTTACAGGTCAGATTTTTTAAGGTTGGAAATTGTTTTCAGATAATGCTTCCGTTTTCCTGTATCTTTAGACTTGCCTTCTTCCAGTGGCAGAGATAATAATTTGGTTTTCGTGTTTGTCTTGGGAAACAAGTCCGATTGATTGTTTAAGCAACGACGAACCTGTGTAGAAAGATGCCGATCCATCTCTTGGGTTTTCAGTTCAGACTTGGAATCCCAGTGACTTGAAATTATGCTCAAAAGTATAAACTTAAAACTTTACATTTTCTCTCTGTTTTAAATGACCAGAGAGGGGCAAGTGGCCCAGTGGTTAGGGTCTGTGGCCTCGAATCACAGGGTTGGAGGTTCGAATCCAGCTGTTGGCAGCCACTTCACCCCTGCTTGCCTCCCTCCACCTAGGGGTATAAATGGGTACCAGCATTAGCTGGGGAAGCAACCTGCGCTGGACTCTCATCCCATCGAGAGGGAATAGAAATATTCTCAGTCATTTCAGCCAAGGAAACCGGAGATAAACACCAGCCTGATGAGCCAAATTGGCTCCGACCAGACTTGCTTCAAATGACCAGAGACTTAACAGCTTGCTTAAAGCTTCCATTCAGTCGGTTTCTTTGCTGTGCTAAATGCCTTTTTAAGAACAATTTTGGCACCTTCAAGTTTGGCATGTTTTCAACCTTGGGATCCCACGTATTGAACTTAATATCTAACTTGATCAGGATTGTTAATCGCTGGTTACAGAGTAACAAAAGTCGTATTGATTCACTCGAAACTGTCAGCGAGGGCGGGTACATGTAACGAGGAATGGATCTCGCACCTTCCGAAATGCCACTTGGAGGCCCTACTCGAAATGCGCCGGTATCATTTCCCGCCTATTTTTCCAGCCCAGCCAACATCGCGGCTTTCATTCCCGTCTCCGCCCGTTCCTCTCTGCATCCAGCCCAGCCATGTTCCGTTGCGGCACACGGCCGTATTCATTTCTCCTCTAACCTTCACCGTCTTTCATTTCATTATTTCCCTGAGGTACTCGACGGCCGAGGGCAGTTCCTATGACCATCTCACCCTCTTGCCTATCGGCAAGAAACATCCCGAATTCATCTCGAGTGGGAATCACTGATCCGTCACCTTCGAATCTAAGATGTCCTCTTAAGGAGTTCGCAATAAGTATAATACACTTCCCGTAATTAAGAATTTGGAAGCGGGCGTCCAGAATTCGGCTCCATCTCATATTTTCCCCCGTTCGACGTCTTGACAACATGAGCAGAGCCTATAAATGACAAACTTTTTCTCGTTGTATGGGCAATCACAGCTTGTCTCCTATCAAATTGATATCGCATCTATTCCAGTGCACAGTTTTGAGACACGTTCAAAGACTGGATTGAATCAAATGTGGAAAACAGTAAGGTCGAATTCAAATGTAGCATGTCCTTAGAAAAGGCGATAGTGTTGACACATTTGTGGTAATTTGGTTTATCTCATCAAATAAGCCGAGGACGGGGAGTCAAATCAATGTTTCAACAGTCAAATGAAATCACAGTGAAAAAAAACCTCTCAGTACCTGTATACCGAATGTCAACACCACGCTTTTTTGTGTGTGGTTTTTTTGGGGGGGGGTCGTATGAGGCTTTTGTATGTTTTAGGGTCGACCTAGAGCGCTCTGGGCGCATCGTTCTCGCTAAATGTCACATTTTTCGTGCGGACGCTGGTGTTAAATATTAACTCTCATTTGACAGAATTCCAGAGGAAAAACAGGAACCTGCGGTGTAAAATATTAATCACATTAATCACAAAACCTAATGTGAAATTTGATTAAAATTACCAATTGGTAAGAAGTTTAAAATGTCTTAACCACGTATGCCAAATTTCATTAAATTCCGTCTTTTCAGTTGAGATTTGAAGGGGGTGAAAGCTGCGCCATCACCCGCCAGAAGGAAAATGCTAAAGTTTAGGGCTGAAATAATTATATCAAGCATTCAACGCCGTCGACTAAAAGGTGGATTTTTCATTGCCGAAACAGAGTTAGAAATGTAACTATTAAATATTTGGTGAGACCTTTTTCAATGTCCTTATTTGCTGGCGCTTTATTTCAATCCGGCAAATAGTACTTTTTAACACGCGTGAAAAGGTTCAATAGATACTGTAACCTGTTATTTCCATGTTATGTCTCACAGCATCAGAAATGTGTAACATTAGCCCCGCTGGAAATCTGTGAAACTTAGAAGACC